CCGGGAAATCAACCGTCAAATAGATCATTTCGGTATGCTACCACTTATCCCATTCCAGCGGCGTGTCATCCATAACCGCATCATCCGACACATCTCTATCGCTGTCCACGGTCTCTATGGAGGGGCCCTGTGGAGTGTCAGAGAGGACATCGTGCAGGCGCGACAAAAAAAAGGCCACTAGAAATTGGCCGAAGCTTTTAGTTACCGGTCGGGCAGCCACAGGCCTGCTATAGCTATACCGACACATTTCTCAATGAAGTACATATAGCGTATGGGTAGTCTAATGTAAGAGCGTACAGACATAACTGCAGTAGGCACAGGGAGGCGCTAGGGATACAGACAGGACAAGGGCACCTCTTCTCCGAGGTTTACCCTATTTCACCCTGATTCACCGGGTGAATCTCAGGTTCGCCACAACCTCTGGTTAATTTACGGTGAATTACAGCCTGTTAATTAACTCGGTTAATTACCGCCGCCTATTACCCCGTACACTAACTCGCAGGACTCGCAGCAGGAAGGCCAAATCCATGATACCATCCGCCCACCCCAAAGACCACCTGAGAGGACTCAGTCCGCTCGCCCTGGGCTTCGTATTGTGCCTCTTCCCACTCCACCTGCGCATCTGGCCCCGATGGAGTGTATTACGATCCCGAAACAATGCCGCTGGACCCAGAATACAATCCGTACCTGCGATATCGACCCCAGTCCCCAGGACGAACGTCTGTCGGCCAAACTTCTGTTGGACAGGGGCTCGGAACAGACGTCGCTGACGTCGGAGAAGCATCTCGAACGGAAGTGAAGCACGACCGTCCTAGAGTGAGTACGCTACCCCATCGCCGATCGGTGGGGGGCGCCCAGTTCCTATTCTGGTCCGTCGTCCCGCCCCCTGCGAGAATGGTCTTCGTGATGGGGTAGCTCCTGGAGGAGCGGACGCCGATACCTCCGACAGGGAGCCAGCTCATTAGACGTCATCCGACCACGTCAGACGCGCTGGGCACGCCTTGGAAGCTTGGCTGAGCGGTCGGTTGCGGATATGCGGGTGACGGAGTTCTTCACCACTTTGATATTTTGCTATGATGTGTACTCCCCTCCCTATGGGAATGTGTCCTCGTCACGTCATATGTCATGTCCCGTCCTGGCGTCCTTGGTAGGCGTGCATTACCTCTCGCTGCCCCCTCCATGCTTTGTGTAGGCATGCGAACATTGGCTTTTTTACGATAATGTGTCCTGCAGCCCTTGGTATCTGTGTGATGACAGGTTCACCGGATGATGGGCACCTTCTCTCTGCTCAGTATAAATGCAGAGGGATCCCACAACAGGAGCATGTGACGTGCTCCTGACACGACACCCTGTTCATAGCACACCAAGATGTTACAAATGCCATTCTCACTGGGTACATCACCCATATTGAGCATGCAGAAAACTGTGAAATTAACGGGTCAAAGGTCAAACTTTTTTCTTGATTGTCCATTGCACAATCAGTGAACCAAATTAGAATAATACTACTTTTGAGTGTGCAAAAATGTGATTGTGGCACAGGATATGTTCTTTGTTCAGCACTATTCATTGAACTTTCATATGTTTTGCAAGGCAACACTATGAACAAAATTTGACCTTTGTCCGGTTTCTTTCACACTTTCTCAGTGGCTCAATATGGGAATTGCACCCAGTGTCTGCTCACTCACGCTCATTTTCCAATAAAGTAAGCTAACCCTCTTCATTATTTTTCTTCCTTCACGTCGTCCGTCGCTGCGTATATCTGTACTTACGACTCGTTACATGACAAACTTCAAGATACAACGGCTCTGTGTACATGCATCATGAATTCTGTCCCATAATACTTTTCCGGGATTTAATGCTCTACAATCCGCGTGTCCAACCAGTCAAGGGATTCGTCCGGTTCTTCAAACTCAATGTCCACGAGCTCCCGCAACTCCATCTGGATCGCAGGCAGACAGTACCGCTCGAAATCGACTTGACCAGTGCACAGCACACTGAACTGCCGACGAGCAGCAGGAGAAGCAAGCAGTGATACAAGCTCATCATAGTCGATGGCAGAAGACCACCTCGGAATGATGAGGCGGCGTTGTTGACGTCGATGGAGCGGCCAGACATTGTGGCGATTGATGGTCTCGACCAACGACCTGAGGAAGTCAAGAACGCAAGAGGCGTCCAGGTAAATGTTGGCGACGCTCGATAATGTGGCAAAAAAGTCCTCTTGATCTCTTTCGTCGCGGAGACATGCAAGAGAGCCCTGGAAACGAAATGTCGAAAGCCTCGGGAACTTCACCACGGGTCTCCCTATGGATAGGGGGACCAATGGCCCTACGTTGACGGGGACACCGTCTCTGGACACGAATGCCATAGTGAAGTGTGGTTTGGCGGGAGTAACAGCTGTAGCCCATTCGTGCAGAAGGAACAAGGTTGCATCCCGGAACGTGATGGTCTCGACCTCGGGCAGCAAAAAATCGTTGAAAAGAATGTCCAAACGACAACCCCCACCGAGCATGTCTGGCATATCAACCCACGCAAAGTGCTTCAGATGCGGCAGCGTGATGGGTCTGGAGTTGCTTTCCTGAAGTCGCTGGTGCCAGGATATATTCCACTTGATAATGAGGTTTGTAAGATTGGGACATGCCTCGAGAGCGCTCCGCAGGTGATGAAATTGAATCCTTTCGTGACCGAGCAGCGTCGCAAGCGAGATCGTTGTCACCCTGCGCAAGGTCGGCATTGGCGGGTCGGTTATAATTCCCCACGAGCCACATAGATCAATATCACGGCAGAGGGGAGCGTCAAACTTCAGAAGCCGAGAAAAGTCGCCCGTGCAGAGTCCTTGGACTCTTATCCGACGGAGTCTCGGTGCGTTGACAAAGCACAAAGGCCGCAAAATATCCTGTGGGCTCGGACCCAACTCATCTCCAGAGAAACCATGCAAGCAAAGATGGAATTCCTCCCAGCGGTGGGCCTGTGTGACGACTAACTCCAGGTTCCGGTGTATAGCTTGGAGACTGCTGACCCCCGCCACCCACATATGTTGTGGCTGCAAATGAATCTTGATGGAAAGCCCGCGTTCCTTGGAACGTTCAAGCTGGAGTGAAATCAGCTCGCGTCGAGTGTTGCAGGTCACATTGACATCCGTCGCCCATAGCTCGGACGTGGTCACTGCAAGGGAACGCCATCTGGCATCAACCGAAGCCAGCACCAAAGCGGGTGGCTTCGGCGCCGATGACTCGTCCTCACAGTTCAACGTAAATATCCTCAACAGTGGCGCATCTGGAAGCCGCGACATAGGGAAAGAGGAAACATCTGTGTTGACTCAGCTCGGATACTTGTGGCCAGTGATACGCGTGAACACTCACTCGGAGCTGGTCCTCCCCAACCGGGATTCCTCGCTACAGCGCCGCCACCGGTACCGGTCAAAGCGTAGAAAATGGCTTGAAGGTTGCTATCATTCATGCCAGGGAATATCGGGTCGTGGCGGAAATAAGTGAAGCCGGGAAGTACCGGGTTGGAAGGACGATATGGGTTGGAAGGACGATATGGGTTGGAAGGACGATATGGGCGGTCGAAAAGGTCTGCGGCCGAGTGAAGTACGGGTCCGATAGGGTGATATGGGTGGTGGAAGGGGTCCATGGCTGAGTTAACGTGAAGGAGGCGACACCGGGGGCGCCATTAAGTAGATATCAACTTGTTTGCCTTCGTTTGTCCGTGATTGGTCCCTATAGCCACCGTCGCCACAAACAGCCCGGCGCGCCACCGCGTAGTCGTCCTGGTCGGTACAACATCCTTCCCGATTCCCACTTTCCCCCAAAGTAGCCCAAAGATGATCTTCTCTTTCTCAGACATCTGATGAAATGCGTCTTCGTGCAAATTTTCTCATATCGACTATCAGGACGAGCGGCATACCACTATACCTTTCGCGGTGAGAACTACCGGCCTTGTTACTCCATGTAGGTATATCATCGTCATGAGCATGTGAATTATAGGATAGCAGCAAGATATAATCCATGCATGTTACAGTCGCGGCGTCGCACGGCAAATACAGACGTGGATCTGTCGTGGACGTGTGCGAGGCCGTCGCGCGCACGGGGTGGCGCGGGGTGTGCTCGTACGAGGTGCGCTCTCCTCCTCGCCTCGTTCCTTCCTTTGCTGACATGTGCGCGCGGCAGGTGTTCTACGAGCCCGACATGCGCAAACCCGACGCGGAGGTGCCGCGCCGGTGGGCGAACGCCGCGCAGGAGAGCCACAAGCGCACCTTGAGCGAGTTGGCGGCGAGGGGGCTGGTGTGAGCGTTCGGGAGGGGGGGGGGGAGGCGGGCGCTGGATGTACGAATGCTTCGGCTGATGCTATTCAAGTGAGCGCTGTTGCGTGGCGGACGGGGTGCTGCTCCCGGAGAACGATTATCGACGTCCCGAGTCGGGTCCTACAAATATTTGCGAGGTGTAGTCGCATCGCCATCGCTTTGAGAGATTCCGTGGGCGGCAGGGCTGTTCTCTATAATGAACTTTGGGAGCGAAGATATGCGCAGGGGAAGATGCGGCCACTTGCCTTCCTCCGAGCCCGCCACGAAGTCACACCGGTCGCTCCCAGCGCGGCAGGCCCGTACCACCCGCCAACGAGGTCTCTGCAAAGCTGGGGGCGTGTGGGTATGGGTACGCCAGAGATGATGCATTGCTGGGGGATATTGCTTGCTGCGTGGAGGGACGCGAGGTCACGACTGGCAGCGGGAAGCGCGGAATATACTCCCTCTGCTTCAAGTCGACATGACGACGGGATCAGCTCCATTCCTGATTATCTCTCCGTGGATGGCAAATGGAAATGTTGTCCAATACATGACTGCGAGCTTTGGCCCGACGACTTTGGCCGATACTATGGTATGGAGTGATTGACACGTGCTTTGCATCGAGGTTCGATACTTCGACTTTCTAGGTTCTCCGGAAGGGACCACATGCTGAGCTAACTATGACTCCATTCAGGTTGCCACTGGTCAGTCTCCTTTCTCTGATCTAAGGCCAGATGGCGCAGCGTTTCTGGCTATTATACGAGGGGAGCACGCGAAGCGGCCAGACGGAGACAGATCCATGTCAGAGATGCTATGGGTATGGGCATCGAGCTGCTGGACTCATCAGCCCCGTTGCTTGGCCCTCCATCAATGAATTATTGGAAGACACTGGGTGGACCGGGTAAGTGGAACACTGGTTAACATTATGTCATATATTAAATTTTGAATCTAGAGCCAGCGCATCACCTTGTACTCCTCCGAGAGCAAAACAGGCTAGGCGGCACGTACAGCCGTGAAATGTTTCTACATTCGCTAGACAGCCCTTGATCCACCCAGTATCATCGCACAAAGTACCTGAAACTGTCTGAGGGCAAGTACAAGAAAGAATCAAATGCTTTGGAGTATTGCTGCATCATCATGTAGAAACTAGAAACAGTGAATCTCAGCCGTCTGTAGCACGACTATGTATATAGCGGTGTATGTACCTAGAAACAGTGAATCTAACACTATGTCAGGTACATGATGGACAGCACTGTGTGGATGCAAGACTCACCTCAGCCGTCTGTAGCACGACTGAGGGAAAGGAAAAGGGGATGAGGGGAATACATCTGTATATACCCGAGCGTGTCTCGTCACGGTGAAGGGGTGAAGGCTGACTTCACATCGTATCCTCAGCACATCACTTGCCTATATCTAGAACCTCTTCACAATCTTGGTACATTTTGTATGACAATGATGCAGAAGCGTTATCCGAATGAAGAGTTTCACCAGAGAAAAATATGCAACACGAATGAGGACAGAAGCACTACTGTTGATGCAAGCTGGAGCCGCCAGGGACTGATCCTTTCATTGTGAATCGTTGATCGTGTACGCGATGCTTACTGGGGTGCCTGGAAAGGATGAGATCTCCCAATCAAAGTTCTGGTTGGGTGAGACATACCGGCCCCCAATTACGGATTATTTTATCTGCCTGGACCTTGATATCATCACGAATGTAGGACAGGTACTGGTTGGCAACAGGAGACCCAAGTCGCATAGGCTTTGACCATTTCTTCAAGTCCGTCTTCTTGAGATCCTCTATCGAGAGCACAGGAAGCGAGTCCTGGAAACTCATCAACCTCCGCTTCTCGGCCGGCTGATGGCTGAGATAGTCTGAGATGTCCTGGTCGCTGAACGGTGGCGCAAGGGTGTCAAAAGTGGACAATGGCAGCCTGTCATGACGGGGTTTATCTCTCGCGGCCCCTCGAAGAGCTGCGCGACTTTCCCTGTCAATGACATCCTGCCTCCTCCATTCGTCCCACAGCTCCTCCGTCCTATCTTCTTTCTCCCGGTATGCCATATGATCGTATGCTTGTGCGCTTTCGCGATCAATCCATTGCACACAGAAGACGTCAAGAGTACCAGCAATTAGCCATGCCTCACGCTGGTCTAAGTAGTGCTTGGAGACCATCGTACAGTTAAATTGCAGCTCTACCTGTTGACATGCACCTTCAAGGGTTTCTTCAACCCGCTCCAACCATACATTAATTGGGATGTGCCGGGAGACAGGAGGCTTGAGCTCAACAAGCAGTATAACAAAAGTAGACTGCATGGAGAGCGTGTCGTAGAGGGGAGGGTTGAACACATGGCATATTTGCCGTCGACCTCACGGGAAATGCTGCCATGCTAGGGGAATTGAAGCGTGGATGGGGATGATGGAGTAGAACTGCCAGGACGATATGGACCCCTTTTCCCTCTTTATCGGGACGTGTCTCGATAGACATGTCGGGGTCATCGAGGAAGTCCTTGTCCAGCGAGGTGTTAGGTTTTGGTTGTATTGGATGCAGAGCCACTGGGACAAATAGGTACAAACAGCTTGACTATGTACTGAGCCACTGTATTTCCTTTGTTCCTTAGTCCGTGCAATTGACCTTGCCTTCGGTTTGTGTATGTGTCTGGGTCTGGTGTGCTTATGGCCACCCATCTTATGCTTCCCTGTTCTGCCTGCTGCTAACAGGTTATGAGCCCAACAAGCTCTGAGCCTCATTTTCACTGGTGCTGCATCATCCACTCTACATCTGTGCAATCCACCCCATTCCACTTGCCATCCATCCCTGGAATCATTCTCTGCCAACAATACACACCCTCACTATCAGGCTCCGTCTATTTTCATCAACATTCATCCATCTGTTGCTCTTTGGAGTGGCTCTCTGTGGCTCAGCCATGGCCGCTTTGTCGCATTTCCTAATTAGGAAGGTGACCCTATTTCGCTGCTCCCCTTGGCTCTCTGCCTTCAGCAGTTGGATTTGGGTCGGGTTAGAGGACTGGAAAGGTGGTTGGGGAATAGGAGAGAAGACTCTGGGTTTGAGGCAGTTCTTATGTTGGAAGGATCTCTGGGAAAGAGGAGTTGTGAAGTCTATGGGTCATAGGGGAGTTCTTCAAGCCTGTTGTCTTGATTTTCCCACTCTTTCTGGATCATTGGGTTTCCTGCAGCTCTTTCTCTCTCTGCCATGTCCCTGCTGGATTGTTTGAGGTCTTTGGTTAGGTGGGAGTTGTTGATGCCCTTTTTTGCTATTATTGGAGGGGTATGTGAGGGATGCCTGTTTGTGGTTTTAGGTGGGAGCTGGTTTCTTCTGCATCCTCACAAGGTGGGAGTGTTAGGTTTTGGTTGTATTGGATGCAGAGCCACTGGGACAAATAGGTACAAACAGCTTGACTATGTACTGAGCCACTGTATTTCCTTTGTTCCTTAGTCCGTGCAATTGACCTTGCCTTCGTTGTGTATGT